CGATCTTGGTTCACTGCAACCTCCTGCTCCCAGGTTCAAGCTATTCTCCTGCCTCAGCCTCTGGAGTAGCTGGGATTACAGGCACCTGCCACCATGCCCAGCTAAATTTTGTATTTTTAGTAGAGACAGGGTTTCACCATGTTGGCCAGGCTGGTCTTGAACTCCTGATCTCAGGTGATCCAACTGCCTCGGCCTCCCAAAGTGCTGGGATTACAGGCATGAGCCACTGCGCCCAGCCTCCTTTTATGTATTAATAACTACAGGAAATTGTCACATGTAGGAAATTGATACAGTAATATACAGTCTATATTTCAATTTTGTGAATTACCAATAATATCTCTTAAAGCATTTACTACCATCCAATACAGGACCTTTAGTTGCCGTATCTCTTGCGTTTCCTTTAAATTGTGATAGTTCTTCGGCCTTTCTCATAACATTCGCGTTTTTGAAGAATATATTTATCAAATGTTCCTCAGATGAGATTTGTCCATGTCCTTGAGATTAGATTTCAGTTATGGGTTCCCAGCTTAACTTCTTGTCAGTTATGTTGTGTCCTTCCCAGAGTATCATCACATCCGGAGGCACATGATGTCTCTCTCTGCCCCATTGGTGATAATAATTTTGATCTACTCAGTTAAGGGATTGTCCAGTTCTTCACACAATATAGTTACTTATTTTTTTTTTCTTGTAACTAATAAGCAGTCTGTGAGGAAAAACTGTTTTTGTTCTTTTACTTTTTTCTAATTAATGTCTTTGTAGGAAATTAAAAAATATACAGGTAAGCTAAAGTTAGGGAAAAATTGTCTTATGAACCTAGCGATAACCACATTTTAGTGTATGTTGGTGCATCTCTCTTCTTTATGTTATAATAATGATTACCAAAAAGGATTATACCTTACCTACTGTTTGGTAAATTGCTTCGTTTATATAGCAGTATATTATAAATATTTTTCATGTGTCAGTAAGTATTACAGTATTTTAATGGCTGCATAGTTTTCCGTTGTGTAGCAGTCCTTTGCCTATAGATTATTCTGTGATGTTCAGTTTAGCCTCACATTCCAGGTACAAGAGATCCTTAATGGCTGTCCCCTAGGGCTTAGGGAATCTCTTCCACCCAAGAGCCTCCAACCATGGAATCTCGATGTCTGTCTTATGCCATCAGCACTACCATGTTGTTTTTCTGTTCTGCTGTTCCATACTAATGTGCTATGTTCCTTTCTCTGACCATTCCTAGGTCCACAGTAGCACAGTTTTGTCAAATATTTAAACCTATTTCTGATTCACTTGGGTTGTTTTCATGCTTTAACTGCTAATATTGTATCTGGATGTTAGTTTTTTTGTTTGTCTTATTGCAAATACAGACTATTATGAGTTAAGTGAACTTTTATGGGGTAGTCTTTTGAGTAGAGCATCTGGCCAAAATACCTTCATACCCACCAAAAACAAAAACACAAAATATTTGGAGCACAGTTTATCTTTTTATTTGGAACTTCTTTTCTATTACCTGAATTTCTAGTTAACCTATATTCATATTTTGGGTCAGGTATCTTAGGAGATCTCAGCTCTTGTCTATTAGGATTACTTAGCAAATTATCTTGAGTGAACTTTCTATACAGGAGATAAAGCATAACCTTTAAATGCATTATTTTATAGATTTTTCTCCCTTTAATATTTAATCATTTGAAAGTCTGTCTTCCCCCACAAGTTGTTTAGTTTCAAGCTGTTTAGGTATATGGAAATATAACCTCTCTATGTAGATGTGGGACAGTTTACAAATGAATCTGCCGGTACTTTCATAGTTTAGTTCAAATTTGACAAAATTATATCTGGAAGACTTAGATGTAGGATCTCTTTTTATTGACTGAAGGCAAAACAATTTTAACTCAAATGAATGAAGTAACTTTGTTATTTTTAAACTCTTTTTTGAGACAGAGTCTCGCTCTGTCTCCTGGGCTGGAGTGCAGTGATGCAATCTCGGCTCACTGCAACCTCCACCTCCCGGGTTCAAGCGATTCTCCTACCTCAGCCTCCCAAGAAGCTGGGATTACAGGCGCATGCCACCACACCCGGCTAATTTTTTGTATTTTTAATAGAGATGGAGTTTCACCATGTTGGCCAGGCTGGTCTCGAACTCCTGACCTCAGGTGATCCACCTGTCTTGGATTCCCAAAGTGCTGGGATTACAGGCGTGAGCCACTGCACCGGCCTATTTTTAAACTTTTCTTTACACTTTGAGAAATAATGTCTGCTATTTTATAGATGGCGATGTAATAGTGATACCCTGTCTCTTAAAAAATGTAAAAAATTAGCCGGGCATGGTGTTGCACACCTGAAGTCCCAGCTACTCAGAAAGCTGAGGTGGTGGGAGAATTGCTTGACCCCAGGAATTGGAGGCTGCAGTGAGCTAAGATTGTGCTACGTGCTCCAGCCTGCACGACAGAGCAAGACAGCATCTCTTCAAAAAATGACTGTTGTGATGTTGGTAGTCATGTTGAAAGATCTTGTCATTTATAACACTAACAAAAGTAAATAAAATATTAAAGCATATATTTGGTATATTTAATGTGAGCTTTTCTGGGTGCAAAGTATAGAAAAGTCTTTGAGGCACATACTAAAATAATAAACCTGTATCTCTTTTAGAACTTGTAGTATTTTTGTAATATCATATAAGCCTCTCTGTTACGCTTCAACATTATTAAATACTATTGACATGTACATTTGTAAGTAGTTATGAAGAGTTCATATTCTTTAAGGTATGCTTTGCTGTATTTTAAAATATGTAATGGGTTTCATTATAACCTTAATTTTCATGAAATATATGAGTGACATTTTATTTTAAAAGCAGAGAAGGCCAGGTGCAGTGGCTCAGGTCTGTAATCCCAGCATTTTGGGAGGCCAAGGCTGGCAGATCACCTGAGGTCAGGAGTTTGAGACCAGCCTGGCCAACATGGTGAAACCCTGTCTCTATTAAAAATATCCAAAATTAGCTGGGTGTGGTGGCTTGTGCCTATAATCCCAGCTATTCAGGAGGCTGAGGCAGGAGAATTGCTGGAACCTGGGAGGCGGATGTTGCAGTGAGCTGAGATCATGCCATTGCATGCCAGCCTGGGCAACAAGCAAAACTCTGTCTCAAAAAAAAAAAAAGAGAAAACGTGATTCTTCATGCTTATAGTTTACAAATATTTTAATATTGTTCCTGGTCTGTATTACCTTTTTTAAGTAATAGTAATAAATTGTATATTTTCATATGTAAAGTAAGTTAAAGATATAACTCCTTTAACTATTAAAAGTCTTTTTCTTAGCACTAGGGGGCACCCCTGATTTATAAATTCATGTTATACTTAATCTTGCCTAGAAACTGGAGTGAAATGAAATAATTTGAAAAATATCTTGCAAACTGAGAGACTCTGTTCAGAGAATCTGGATTATCAAGCTGGTTTTGTTGTATAGCAGTATAAATATAAGTTGAGTCTTAATAATATAAGGGTAATGAAGCTTATAGAATGAGATAGTTTAGATAGGAGGAAATTGTTTTATAGTTTATTCATTTTCACATTGATTTTCTAAGTGGGTACTGTTAAATGGTTTTAAAACTTCATGATTTTGAATATATTTCTATTTTAAAAATTCTAGCACAATGTTCTGCTCTTAGCAGGTGCCTAGGCTGTATCTGAATAAATTAAGATAAATTCAAGATGTGACTGAAGACTGCTATCATTAGTGATAATTTTTAAGCATTTCAAAACCAAGAGCATGTTTTACTACATCTAGGAAACAGATCTTAGCCATTCTCATTCATTGTGTTTGCAATTAGGATTTTTAGTGATACTCAGCAACAATTGCTTCCCAAAGATATATTTCTAAGGTGTTGTCTTTTCTTTTTTATTTAAGAGACTCTGTTGAATTTAAGCCTTATGGGGATTAAGTAGATAGTAGCATCTGCATCTTCATTGCATCATATTAATAGCATATTTACTAGTACCAACACTGTTTTAGGTGCTTTGTGTATATTATCTCATTTCTCTTCACCACAACTCTATGAAGTGTAGGTACTTATTATCCCTATTTTATAGATGAGAAAACTGAGTACAAAAAAGTTAAAATTTCCTGGGTTTACACAGAGGTAATGTGGTTCCAAAATTTGTACTTTTAAATCACTATATCCTATATTGCTTCTCCAGAGAAAGGAAACTTAGCATTGAAGTAATTATTATTGACATTTAAAACTCAGCTTTTAAAGTGAATATAGCATAGAGTACCTAATTTATAGACACTTAACATTTCTCTTATGAAATACATCATAGATCTTTAAAGTTGAAAAGGGATCTTAAAGTTCATTTACCACTGTCATTTTACAGAGAGGAAGAAATTCTAACCTAGGGAGGTAAAGTTACCTACTCAGTTTATATGGCAAGTTATTTATGGAAAGATATTAGAACTTGAAGTAAGTACTCTGACTTCCAGTAAAGTAGAAAATCTGTGTTGTGGAAAGAGTATTTGACTAGAATTTTGATGGCTTGAAACTTGCTCTTGGCTCCTTATTTGCCATCCTGTGTCCTCAGAAGTTCTGTGTTTCTTTATTATGTGGGTATGATGTATCTTCCCTAAGCGTATTCAGTATTGTTGATTTACGGGTGTCATTTGGATCACTAAAAATTTATTGTGTTGTGGTATGTGTTACTTTGCCATGCGTTTTTTTTTTTTACACATTTTATTTACTTTAAAAAAGTTGTACATTTGATTTTTTTCCCTCACAATAACCACTTAGCGAAAAGTTATGCTTTTGCTTTGCTTATGAAGAACATAACAGTAACATCTATTGAATACTGTTTATTTGGTGTTTCTAGTTGTTTGAAAAGAGCATACAAGATTGTCCTCAATCTGGATTTAGTGGCTGAGCTAAAGTTGAAATATTTTGTTTCTTGTCATGGTGGTAGGCATAGAGTTGTTTTCTTAAACTTCGAGGGAGGACATTTGCTTAACTTTTTTATTTTTTACAGGAATAATGTATTTGTGGCCTTGGACATGAGGCAGTCAGTCCTCTGTTGCTGTTAACATAAGGTCAGGGACTGATGAGGAAAGCATGGACCTAATGAACGGGCAGGCAAGCAATGTCAATATTGCAGCTACTGCTTCTGAGGTAAGATACTTAAGAAGCTTAGGTAAAACTTTCTTACCTGGCTTTCTAAGTTTTCAAGCATTATGTTTGTTCACATACTTAAATCAGAAGTGCATTTAGTGCAGAAGTACACATATTTTAACTTTTACTTTAGTGATTCATATGTTTGCTGTGCATCATAGATGTACTTAATCCTTATCTACTTAAGATACTTGAAAAATAATGGCAAATAATGGTAACTCATAAAACTCTTTATTTTTAAAAGAAACATTTGGTTCTTGGGTTAAAGTTTAGCATTTAAGATGGAGATGTGAAGACTGAACTAGATGCTCACACCTCTAGTGAATATATTATGATTGTATTTTTGCCCCAACTTTTTTCTTTTTTTTCTTTGTGTATAGATCTAGAGAACTTGCCTGCTTTCCTTAGTAACTTTAGCATCTGGCTTCTATATTTCTTCTTTATTTTTCTCTTAGTATATTGGATGAGAATAATGTTTATGACCCTTTAACACCGTGACCTCAAAGTTCCTTAATAGCCTCAACTCCATTCCAAAATGGGCTCCATTTTGCCCCAGCCAGTTACTTAGGCCTTGATATCACTGAAAATATTCTAAGTCTGTGGTTTCCATTGTTTTTCTTATGTAGATTATTTATTTTTATCTCTAGTCCTGGCTTCCCTCATGAATTTTATTAAGCATTTTTGATGGACCAGACATTTGTAATGTCCACAATATCAAGTTTCTTATTACTGTTCTGCTCCACAACTGTAAAGAAAATAGTCCAAGCCTTTTATCTAACTTACATTAATAGCATCACATTTCCATAGCCATCTAAGTTTAAATCTTTAGATGTGTGGTTTTTTTGTGGAGGGGTTTGAGACAGAGTTTTGCTTTCGTCGCCCAGGCTGGAGTGCAGTGGTACGATCTTGGCCTTCTGCAACCTCTGCCTCCCGGGTTCAAGCAATTCTCCTGCCTCAGCCTCCCCAGCGCTTGCCACCACACCTGGCTAAGTTTTGTATTTTTAGTAGAGGTGGGGTTTTTATCATGTTGGTCAGGCTGGTCTTGAACTTTTGACATCAGGTGGTCCACCTGCCTTGGCCTCCCAAAGTCCTGGGATTACAGACATGAGCCACTGCGCCCAGCCAATGTGTTGTTAATTAACTTTGTTTTGCCCACCACAACCATTGTCTCATCATAGCAGAGAGAGTCCGCTAGCAAGACAGAAGTTACAATCTTATATAATGTATTCATGGAAGTGACATCTCATCTCATTTTCCATATTCTGCTGATTAGAAACAAGTCACAGGTTCTGCCCACACTCAAGGGGAGAGGATCACACAGGGGTGAGAATACCAAGAGATAGAGATCTTCAGCAGCTATCTTAGAGCCTGTCCACTGTGCTTTATCTTTGGGATCCAGTACTTTTCTCCTTATTTCTGTTACTGTGCTACCATCTTAGCTTGGTCATTTATTATTTCTTGTCTAGATTAGTGCCATGGCCTTATATTTGGTATTGCACTTAGATTTTCTGTTGTTTCTGGTCCTTTGACTGAAATTTAAGATTAGTATTCTTAAAATACAACTCTTAAACTTTATCTTTTCCCAAAACTGTCTGTGGTTCCTCATTGCCTACTAATTAAATTCAAATGGTCACTCGGCCTTTTATTCAAGACTTTCTTCAAAATGGCCCCAAATTTTTGGATTTAACCCCTACTCGTCCTCTACTTGAAACTTTACAGTCTAATGAGAGAATACTACATTTGCTGGTGTCTGTATAAACCATTACATTTTCCTTCTTCTGTCATAACTTTGCCTATACCAGTTTTTCTAGCTGGAATTTTTCTTCCCATTCTGGTGTGTCCCCTCCCCATCACTGCACACACAAAACATTTTGTCTTTCAAACATATTTCAAATGCTATGCTTTTAATAAAGCTTTTCCTAATCCCTTAAACAGATGGGAGCTTTCCTATTTTTAAAACTGTCACTTAGAAAAATCTCTTTCTATAATTTTTTCCATAAATTTATACATAGCTTTTTTATATTTACAACAATAGGATTATATTTATATATATGTTTGTAATATATGTTTGTTTTCTTCATATATTTGTAACCATATTTCTTGAATATGTTACATATGTGTATATATGTGTATATTTTTAACTATTCAGAAATACCTGTTCTAGTATCATAGGAAGCAGAATACAAATATTTGTTAAATAAAATAGATCATTCACTTGTACAAACAATTCTGTTGACTTTACTAAAAGTGAATTAATTACACCAGGCTTCAGAGTAGTATAATTAGCAGATGTAAAGTAAGAATGAATTACTTAAATTACTTACCACCCTTTAAATTGTCCATTTATTGTGGCAAGAAAATAAAATTAAAATTTTGTATTTTTCCACCTTCTCTTAAAATACAGATCTAGTAACATCAAAGTACAAATTTCTTATAGAAGTGATAAGTTTACAGAATGGATAAAATACTTTATCTTGGTTGGCTGACTTATCCTTTCTCATTACCTTTTATATTTAACCTGTGTTTGAAGTTTCTGTTAGTAGGAGAATTACAGTGAACTTGTTTTCAGACATTTAGAAGTATCAGTAGTTTTTGAGTCATGCCTTGAATGAATTACTGCTGTTCTCCTGGTGAACATTATTGCATTGTGTCTTATCATTACCAATTTATTACTGGTATTAGGGAAGCACGTCAAAATGCACACTAGTAATTTTTTAAGCCTCTAATGGCATTAAGAAGGAAAAGAGAGAAGTGTTCATTCTTTTTGATAAGCAATAAAATTGTCATGATGATTTACTAACTTGGCTGAGTTAAAAACTTGGAGAAAATTACTGATTTATGTTTATGATTCATGTGTTCACCTGACAGAATGCATCTAGTTATTTGGACAGCTATTGGATTAGTGTATACTGCTTAACTGATGTCTATTTGAATACTTAACATTATGAATAAAATTTTGTATTAGTTTTGGGACATAAAATAATATTGTTGACATACTATAAACTAGTCATAGTTACAGAGATTAAACACAAGAAGTGAAACTCCATTTTATTTATGAGGTTTCTGCTTTATTGAGGTTTCTGCTTGGATTCATTCACTGGAATTCAGGTTTCTGCTTGGATTTATAAAGAGCTTAGAATTCACTCCTGTCCTCACAATGGGAAAAAAGCTAAACAAACTGAAAATCAATAACTCCTCTTAGCTCTATCAGAGAATTGCTATGACAGAGCACATTTAACAGTGATGCCCTGAAACCTGGAGAGATAGGCAAATAGAGAATCACAGCTTACAGGAGCAGAAGACAGTGGAGCCACGTAAACCCTAATTGATGAACTGCTGGAGACTGTGTGTGGACTAGCTTGAGAGTTAAAAACTCCTTGGGGGTCCAGTCTTGACTTCTTCTCACCCTCTACTTTTCTGATTTTTATTACCTCTAAGATGCCCACAAGCTTCTCACAGTAAAGAGAGAAAAAAATTCCCTTCTGCTTCTAGCAGGGGGAGGAAAGAAATAGCCATTTTGAAATACACCCAGATAGAAAGTAAACATATTGAAATATGCCCAGAGCATTCTGTTCTCCACCTGCCCTCAAGGGAAACTACTTCACCAGAGCCTAACTCACTTGGGAGGGGAAAAAGCCTCAACTTCAAGCCCTTCCAGACTTCCTGTCTCACCTAAGCAGAGCCAGGGGGACAGAGAATCATTTGTGAAGTTCACAGTCTGGGGACACACTCAGTGAAAGACTAAAACCGAATAATAGGACTATAGGACACTCTCTCCCCAGCAACCCCTCAAATACACACACATACTCTGCCTACCCCCACCACATCAGCAGGGCTTCTGTATAATACTAAGATTTCAGCTGAAAGAACTGCAAGGCTGAAACTAAGAAGGGATTTCTAGGGAAACCCAAAGACAACAGAGGATAAAAAAATAAGGATACTAGAGGAAATTGAAGACTCAGACACCTATAACAATACCAAATTACAAGCACAGTATAATGCCTAGCATGATAAAAAATAAACCCTTAACAGTAGTAAAGGCCTATTCAACCTGAGTTCCTATTACCCAATGTACCATTTCTAGCTTTCAACAAAAAATTACAAGCCATGCTAAAAGGCAAGGGAAAAAACACAATTTGAAGAGATAAATCAAGCAACAGAACCACTCTCATATGGCAGAGATTTCGCAATTATCAGACTGGGAGTTAAAATAACTGTCATTAATATGCCAAAGGCTCTAATGAAAAAAAGCGTATAACATGCGAGAACAAATGGATAATATAGACAGGGATATTGAAACTATTAAGAATCGAAAAGAAATACTAGAATTCAAAAGCACTGTGACAAAAATGAAGAATGCCTTTGGTGAGCTAACCAGTACCAGTAGACTGGTGACCAGTAGACAGCCAAGGAAAGAATCAGTGAGCTGGAAGACATGTCAGTAAAACTTCCCAAACTGAAATGCAAAGAGAAAATAGGATGAAAAAAAAAGGAACAGAATAGCCCAGGACTGTGGGACAGTGACGAAAGGTGTAGCATATGCATAATGGGAACACCAGAAGGACAGGAGAAAGAAGCAGAAGAAATATTTGAAGTAATAATAGTTGAGAATTTTTCAAAGTTAATGACAGATCCCTTTCTTTGTAATGATCATGGCTCGATATTTAGTATTTAGCTGCTACTAAAAGAGAGGAAAAGCAAAAATGAGGCATAATGACAAGTGCTTAAAACTAATATATAATAGCTAGTAGGTTGATCTGTGTACTGTACTAATTGAAACTTTGGTTAATTTTTTTGCTGTTGTCTGTAGCCTCATATCCTATTACCATTTAAAAGAGCCTGATCTAAATATTCTCATATTGATGTTCCTCTGAATTTAGCCAACTGATACAGAATATATTATTATGTCATGGCACAGACGAAGTGGAAAATTTTTAACAGTAATAAGATTTTCAGGGCCAAAATCCACCGTTCATTCTGCCTATAGCCACAGCATATTCAAACTTGAAACAGTAATTTTTAAGCAAGGAAAACTTAAATTTGTAATATAATAGGTAGAATAGTATTAATTGTACTCTCACAGACAGATCACATAACTAAGAATGGATTATGTGTAACTCTGTAACAGCATTCTGAATATTTTCTGATGACTTATGTTATAAAGCTAATTTGTCTTTTTCTTACTAAAAATTAGTTTTAAAAATTTTAAATAGGGTTTATAGCCTTCTCCCTTGACTTCCCTTTACCTTATTTGAGAATCATTGAACTAGTTAAAAATCATTTATTTCTATAGGAAATGATAGGTTGTCAGGATGAGGAAACTGACGCACAAGAAAATAATTCATTCAAGAACCTAAAAATTGAAAGTCACAGTTTTAGATTTCAAGTTGTCCGACCCTTTATCTGGTACTCTAACAACTAAGCAGCATATTCTGCTCAGCTTTTCTACAGCATTTGTTAACCTACTGTTTTGTTTTCTCAGTTTTTAAGGCCAGTCTAGTTTCTGTCACTTGAATGTGAGACAGGATTAAAAAGACTGCATTTTCTTTCACTTTAACAGAAAAGTAGCAGCTCTGAATCCTTAAGTGACAAAGGTTCTGAGTTGAAGAAAAGCTTTGATGCTGTGGTATTTGATGTTCTTAAGGTTACACCAGAAGAATATGCGGTAAGCCTCCTACCTCTGCCTTCTCCAGTTTTGCACATAATTTACATGTTCGTGCTATTGAGTTAGAATTTGTAGGTCCAGCAAAAGAGATGGCTTTTAAAAAGCTGGATATGGGAATTATTGGGAAAGATGGTACAGCTGTGGAGCAAACAGAGGTATGAAGTGGGAAAAGTAAGAAAAGCTATACATTTTTTTTAAGGACAGCTTTATAAGTTACACTTCAATTTGGTAAGTAGCAATATGTATTTACCATTATGGTAATTGCTTTCATCCCTCTATACCATTTCTCTAAGCCAACTATATTTTATTGACATATCTAAGAAACATTTTTACGGTTTTTTTTAATTAAAAAATTGAAAAATGAAATGTGAAGGTGTTGTTGGATGGAAGGTATCTAGAAAAACATTTGTTTCTTAATATAAATTTGTTTTCTCATTCTCCTTTAATTTGTTAACAGAATATATTGATTTCCTAATGTTAAACCGTTCCTGCATTCCAGAGATAAACTGTGCTTGGTCATAGCATATTATTCCTTGACAGTGTTGAATTTTGTTTTATATCTGTAGCCATAAGTGGGATAGGTCCATAGCATATAAAGCTCTTAGATATAATGTTGGCTTTAGTATAGTTTCATTATATTTTTTTTAAGTTAGAAAGAAAACCTTTTTAGTAATATCTGATTTTATACCACTGTTTGAGGAGCTGTAATTTAATCATCATAGCAAGAACACTGCTACATGAACTTACCTGGTTTTTATTTTTGGATTATAATTTAATGTGACTGTCCAAATTTTTTAAATTATTTTTGTTTTTTAACTTTACACAATTTATCTTCCAAGAAAATACAGATAGGCATGAGATAATTAGAAATAATTCTATTTAATGGTACAGGAGCTAAATTTTATTTTCCATAAGCCCTTATAAAATTGAGTATTTGGTAATATTTTAGTATAGAATATAATTTTAATTTAGGTTACGTGTTATGGTATTGGATTCCAAAGAAGAAATTATCATTTTCACTTTATATTTCAGGGTCAGATAACATTAATGGATGTTCCAGTATTTAAAGCTATTCAACCAGATGTAAGTAGTTTTGAGAATGTTCCTTTTAAATATAGAAAACGATCAATCTCAAATTAATGTGTATTAGAAATGTCAAATTATACTTCATATTAATTTTAAAATGTTTAAAGCTTGTGTTGTAACTTATCTACATACTATTTGGGCCTCAGAAACCCATGTAGCATTCATAGCAGTACATTATTGAGTCATAGATGGGCCTATACTTGACCCTTGAACAAAGTGGAGGTTGGGAGCACTGACCCTTGCTCAGTGAAAACTCTTTCTATAACTTGATTCCCCACAAACTTAATTTCAAATAGCCTGCTGTTGACCAAAAGCCTTACTGGTAACATAAACAATCAACTAATGCATATTTTCTATGTTATATGTATTAATTACTCGGTTCTTACAATAAACTAGAGAGAAAATGTTACTAAGAAAATCATAAGGAAGAGAGAATGTATTTACTATTCATTAAGTGGAAGCGGATCATCATAAAAGTCTTTGTCCTCATTATCCTCACATCTAGTAGGCTGAGGAGGAAGAGAGATTTGTTCTGCTATCTCAGGGGTGGTAGAGGTGGAAGAAAATACGTGTATAAGTAGACCCATGTGTTGTTTACAGGTCAGCTGTATTTGAATCATTTTGATTGATTTGGCTCCATTACTTACTGAAGGAAATAGACTTAGGGAAGCTGAATGATTTACCCATTACTTTGAAGCTTTTTAATGGGAAGATGGAAATTTGAAACTGGGTTTCACCACTAACTCTAGTAATCTTTTCCCTTACATCTTTATTTTGTGACTTAATAATATGACTACATTGACATTTTAGAGAGAAGAGAAAGGATCAAGAAACACATCATTTGTTTCTAATGAAAACAAAGGGACTGGCATTATATATCTGTCCACTATAAGCGTTGGGTGGGGGTGTGTGTATAGTGTTCCTATCATTTTCACATCCTGAGTATGATGGTATCTCTGTTTTACTGATGAGGAAACAGTGATCATTGTCTTTGGTACACAACTAAGTGGTGGAACTGGGTTTCAGACTCTCAAATCTGATTTTTTTTTTAACCTCTTATCTAGTATTTCAATGTGATTTTGTATTCCAAACAAAGTCATTGATAATCCTGAAATTCACTACTATAAAATAGATACATTTTTAGTTCTTTTGGTAACAAAATATAGTGTATTCATTGTGATATTTACAAGTCTGTAGTGGCCCTGAACACTGTAATGACTATGAGTTTCCATTTATGTCCTACATGATTTAGATCGTATTAGTCCTGTGATTTTCAAGTAAGTTACTTACTGTCTTGGTATCTCAAGTTTGGTACCTATAAATGAAGGGGTAGGCCTCAATGATCTCTTAGTTCCCATCATTTCCACAATTCTGTGTTTTCCTAACTTTTCCCCCATACCACAGAGGGCTTTCTAAATAGAACCATTGGATTAGCAATAGAAGAACAATATATTCTATAAATAAAGCACAAATAGAAAATGACTTTTGTATTTAAATGGCAAAAAAAAAAACCCAGAAATATTTATTTCTTCACCTCCCTGAAAAACAATCAAAAAATTGAAATTCTTTATACAAATTGTATTTTGACCTAAAATTCACGTGTCTTCTCCTTAGGTGTATTTTTTTCCTTTTGAATGAACTGCAACAGTTGTATTGCTGCTTTATATGAGATCAGTGCTGTCTAGTAGAAATATAGTATAAACCATTTGTATAACTGTGTTTTCTGGTAGCCACATTATAAGGTAAAAAGAAAGGTGAAATTGATTTTAATGATTTTATGTAACCTACATAGAAAATATTATCGTTTCAACTTGTAATCAGTGTAAAAAATTACTGAGATATCTTACATTCTTTTTTCTCCACTAAGCTTTCAAATCCAACATATACAACAATTAGTACATCTTTATTTGGAGTAGCCATTGGTGGCTAGGAGCATTGAAGATCCAGATAATACTACTTGAAGACATAGACTTCACATCTATGGGAACTTTTTATTCCCTTGCGGCATCTGATAGTACTTTGTGAAACTTAGAAATAAACCTTAAAATTCCCTTGACCTTCACTCCTTTTATTTTATCCCATTGATTTTTTTTTAGCCTCCTAAGTATCTTGTCTATCCAGTCTGTCTCTACTCCCAACACCCCAAAGTGAAATACCATCTTCTCTCAAGTGAGTTATTGCAGTGACCTGTTACTTGATCTACCTGCATTTACTTTGACCCTCAAAATGCTTTTTTATCCAGTAGCCATGGTAATCTTTTCAGCATCTGTTGAATCTGTTCATATGATCGCTCTGCTTAAAACACTTCTTTGGCTTCCTGTTGCTCTGAGGATAAGAACCATCTTAATATGGTTTACAAATCTCTTCACAGTTTTACCTTTTTCTACCTTCTGCAACCCCATCTTGCGTCTTTCGTATCTCTTTCTGGTCTAAGGTATACCAGCCTTCCTTTAGCCCCTCTCACTACTGAACCTGTGCACATCCTAATTAACTCCTACTCATCTGTCAGTTCTCAGCTCTAGTTTGACTTTCTCGGGTAAGCTTTTTGTCTTTCTACAGGGTCACCTAGCACTCTACTTTTTCACTGGACTTGTCAATTGCAATTTTACATTTGTGTTGTGATTCAACAAATATTTACTGGATGCCTATTTTATGCCTGTTATATTCTATTATAAAAATCTAGTTTAGTTTAGAAGGTATAGTAGTAAGCAAACACTAAAATTCCTGCCCTCGTGGATCTGATATTTGAGTGAGGTTAGCTATACAGTGTCATGAAAAACAGAGAGAGAAGAGAATAGGGAGTGTGAGGGTAGTGGGAGTTGCAACTTTAGATAAGATGATCAGGAAGACCTTACTGAGAAGATGACATCTGCGTTAAGACCTAAAGGAGGTGAGTGAGAGAGCAAGCCATATGGGTGTTTGGGGAAATAGTATTCCAGGCAAAGGGAAAGCCAGGGCAAAGGCCAGTGAGCTGCAGTGAGTAAGCAAGGGAGGGAATGTACTACAAGATGAGAGGTAGGGTGAGGGCTAGATGTTTAGGGCCCTGAACACCATTGTGAAAAAGATGGGAAGCCATTAGAGCATTGTGAGCAGATAGTGACATTTTCTGCGTTAGGTTTTAAGTCACTCTTTTTTTTTCTTTTCTTTCCTTTTTTTTTTTGGACAATCTTGCTCTGTCACCCAGGCTGGAGTGCAGTGGTGTGCAGCTTACTGCACCCTCCGCCTCCCGGGTTCAAGTGATTATCCTACCTCAGCCTCCCTAGTAGCTAGGACTCCAGGTGCGTGCCACCATGCCCAGCTAATTTTTGTATTTTTAGTAGAGACAGGGTTTCACCATGTTGGCCAGGCTGGTCTCAAACTTCTGGCCTCAAGTGATCCACCCACGTTGGCCTCCCCAAATGCTAGGATTACAGGTGTGAGCCACTGCGCCCCGCCTTAAGTAGCTCTTTCGGACTGCTGACTAGGGTATGTGGCAAAGTGAGCATAGGGGAAGAAGAGGTGGTACCAAGGACTGAATCAGGGAGACCACGTGAGAGATGAAGGTGGCTTAGATCGGGGGGGAATGGAAGAGATAAATGAGAAGTTGCCAGACATTGTATGTGAAATGAGTCTAGGATGACACCAAGGTTTTTGGCTTGAAGCCAGATGCATGTAGTTGATATTCTCTGGGGTAAAAAATTATTATTGTTGTCCTATACAACTCCTGGGGCTGCTATTCATATAAAATATAATGTACAATGCACCCTTGTGGAAAAAGGCTAGAGGAACAGATTTTGAGGCAAGAGCAGGAGTTTGGCTTTGGACATACTTACTTTAACATGCCTGTTAGACAGCCAAGGAGAATGTTGAGTTAGGGAATGTATACTGGTATATATTTCCAATCCAGTCTAGAAATATGGAGATGTCAGCGTAGAGGTGGTATTTAAAAGTGTGGGTGAGATTATCAAGAGAGTGAATACAGATACTTGATTTGCTTGCCTCTCCACTAGATTTTGAGCTACATGAGGGCAGAGACTGACAATTTTTGCTTACTGTTTTATCTGACTGGCACGTAGTGGAAGCTCAATATTTAGAATGAGAGGGTGAACATAGTATTTAGTAAACGTCTGCCCAATGAGAGAGTGTTTTTAAAAATTGACAGCAGTAACTATTGGAAGAAATGATGTAGCACCAAAATACTTTTAGTTTTTTTATTTTGGGGACAGAGTCTGGCTCTGTTCCCCAGGTTGTAGTGCAGTGGCGCAATGACGCCTCACTGCATCCAGGACCTCCCAGGCCCAAACGATCCTCCCACCTCAGCCTCCCAAGTAGCTGGGACCATACACATGTGCCACCATGCCTGGCTAATTTTTTATTTAATTTTTTTAGAGACAAGGTCTCGTTATGCTGCCCAGGCTGGTCTCAAACTCCAAGGCTCAAGTGATCTCCTGCCTTGGCCTCCCAAAGTGCTGGGATTACAGGTGTGAGCCACTGTGCCCAGCCAAAATATTCTTAATGTATTAGTCTCATGTGAACACTAGGAGTGTATTAAATCTGGCCAGTATAAAAAAGCCTTTGTTACCTGGCAGAAAAATGTTTTTGAAATTTAGTATGATATATTAAAGACATATAACAAAGCATAGTAAATAATAAGGTAAATTCCTGTGTACCTAACCAGTACTAATAAAGGCCTTCTGCATTCTCCCACCAAGGTAACCGCCATCCGGTATTGGTCTATATCATTCCTGTCTATTTAGTTATATTTTTTCTTTAAGTATAGGTATCCCTTAACACATGCTATTGCAGTTAAATATTTTATGTAGATGGTGTTGTATTGTTTTGGTCTTTTTAGCATGCTTTTGATGGTCAACGTTGTTGATTAGCATCTATGTTGATATATATACTTTAGTGCATTAATCACTGGATTATAAAGCATCTTTAAATTTATCAACTACTGCTAATTTGTTTTCCAAAATGATTGTACAGATACCGTTTATTATGTCAAAACTCTTGCTACT